CTTGAAGATGTGATTGGCAGACAGAACAAAATGGGGCCATTTGAATTATTCAGTTGAAAAGAAGATGTTGCTGGCCTCGGCTCAAAGCATTCTTTTGTGACATGTGCAGAACATACAGACTGAGAGGCTTTTCAGTGGGGTGACCGATGTGCTTTGCAGACAATCTTGAATCTCATTGGTCAAAATAAAGGAACACAAGCCGGATTATTTAATTCCTTCGAGTTTCTGTTTTTCTGTCATTACTTAAAAAGACAAATGATCAAGTTCAGACTATTTATTTTTCCCTTCTTTTAACAAAAAAAGATCAAAGCATTATCATTATTAAAGAATAAACACATATGGAAACTAAACAGCTTATTGTTGTCAGAGACTTTCAAAAAAGTGAGACGTAAAAAAATCTTAGAAAACAGTAAAATCAATCATCAAGTTGCAAAAGATGTAAATGTGAAGCACTATTGCATACAGAACTGTCTCAGAGAAGAGATTCCAAACTATAATGAATGGCATAACGGCAGCATGAAAGTGGTACAAAAAAACACAACAAAAGACAGATGTAGAACATTTTCTACAAGATGACAAGCTGTGAATTCAGCTAAGATGATAAATGTTTGTTATTTTGAGCTGAAGTTCAATTATATCTCCTGTGGAGTTTTTTTTCCCTCTTCCAGTTCCCAAGCAGTAGAACATGGAGATAATCAATGCCTGCCAGCGCAGTTCTCATGCGTCTACATTTATCATCATGACACTCATCCTCAAATGTGAAGCTGTGCAAAAGACAACCTGCTGCACACTTCTTCTGCCTCTAAGACTCAGAATGTTAGAATAAAAAAGTGTGTGTGTGGTGTTTGTAATGACATGTTCTGGAGGTTTCAGGGGAGGGAAAGCAAAGAGAATCAAGGCTCCAGGAAGGGCACAGGGTTGAGTCTGCTCTGTGTGTTTAGTCCACAGCCATGCACCCTGCAGGACACCGTGGAACATGTGATGAGGATGATCACCCCCAACACCCACCCCACTCACCCGTTGACTGTCCTTTTGACCCAGATCTCCCACACCTTTTCTGAACAAGACCTTCTTCTCTTCCAATTTTTTTTTTTTTAACTCTCCCTTTCTCTGTTTTACTCTTCTTGCCACATTGGTTGGATCCTGTTCCGGCCTCCAGCCACGAGCCCCGGCAGGCCGTGGTGTAAACACGGCCTTAAGTTAATGTAATGAGCTGAAGAATGCCACCTCTCCCGTCTGAAATTGCACTGAGTGTTAAGTGACCAGTGAAAACATAATGGCGGAGGCTATGTGTGTATGTGTCTGTGTGTGTGCCAGTGTGAGATTAAGAGCTGTGAATACCAAAAAATAAGGAAAGGAAAGGAATTAGAAGCAAAGAAAAACTTAAAGGAGGGAAAAATAAACCAAATAGAAACATGTTCATGGTGGAAAGAGCTATATCTTCAAATCTAAGAATATATTCAGCATGAATTAATGTAAAATTCATGTTTAAACATGAATGTCTTGTCCCAACATCCAACTAAAACAGATGTGCCACGTTTTTTTCACCCCAGAAGAGAAGGAGAGGAACCATGTGAACTGAATACAGGCCATGATATGATGTGTCTGTTCTATCCATTAACCTTGTTAAGGCCACAAATCTAACATCTATGTCATCCCACTACATCAGCGGTGCTTTGTGTCAAAGGTCGGTGGCATCAACCAGATGTTGCAACAACTTTAATAGTCTGTTTCTCTTTTAGTTGGTTTCTTTAAAGTCTCATTCAAGACAAAAACGGAAACATAAATATAAAGACAGAAATAAACACCTTTTACTTGCTCATGTCCAAACCACTTTGAGGATGTTCGGCAAGTGGACTGTGTACTTTAGATGAGTCCAGAATATGCTCAGAGTGATCAGGCTTACATTTATTGAAATCTAAAGCGTTTAAGCAAATATCACATAAAATACTTTAGAAGACTTGATAATGTCTTGTACAGCTTATTTCTTTCAGGGATATTTTTAATTAAGTTTGCAGGTGAAAGAGTTAGAGAGGACATCCACCAGAAAACAAACCACCCACCGCTGCTCTGAAAGAGATATGTTCTGACCTGACATAAGCCGCTGAATTAGAGACATCCAAGATATTGTGAGTGGCGAGATTAAGCTCAGACATAGAGAGGTGTGGTTTTTCATCTCCTTGTGGAATTTCTCACATCATGACCAGGCACAGTGAGGATCTGAGAGGAAAAAAAGAATGCAAGAAGAACTGATTGCACAAGTTGTAGGATCGTATTATTCCTATCTAATCATTTTCAGAGCACCTGCATCCTTAAGAGGATCAGAAGCCAGGAATATGATTTAGATAAGCTTCACACATGCGTAGCTCAGGAAGTCAGCTGTGGTGGGTGGTGCTGATGTCTCCATAGAATCAAAGACAAAAACGTAACATGTTTCAACTATTTTCAGTCCTAATCTGCCACATTTGTCCGGAGGCTGAGAAACATCATACTTCTTTAGTCACATATCTATTGACTCTTTCAATGTGCAGCAGGTAAGGTAAGCTAAAAAAAATCAAAATGTATAATCTGTGGAATTTGGACTCAGTCAAATCACATTAAACCTACACATTTTGGAGGAATTGGTGGGATGAACAATGTAGTGTGAAATTCATTGAAAGGTTTTCTTTGGTCAAATTATGTAAACACTTGAAATGTCAGCGCTACATACAGACTTAGACAAAAGATATAAAAGCTACGAAGCACATTCAAACCGAGAGTTTTTTTTAGGTTTTAAGAGCATGCACAAGGTGAAGCACAATACATTTCTTATAACCATATAGAGGAATATCCAAAAATCTTCCTTCACATTACGCTTTCACCCAGGAGATACGTATGGATTTAACTCTCTGTAAATCTTTTATCTACAATTAACCCCAAGAGAATTTAAAGGCATCTTGTTTGAAGCATTTGTATTATCATTATTTAGCACAGAGAATAAACAAGTCAGAGATTAATGACTGAGGGAAAAACTGTGGGTAGTATATCTGGTAGATTTATGCTAACTTGTCGAGAATGAGCACTGCAGTAGGTGTTTGACCTGTGCATTAGGGCAAAGCCTGGCACCTCTTAGTCTAGCTGACTCCAGAAAACCCTAAACAGACTTGAGGTTCCCTGAATGCCTCTCAATCATCAGAGGAAAAGCTCAGGGAAGGGGGGAGTTCTTAACCTTTCAGAATAAGCAGGTGGTCGAAGTTGTGGTTAGGATGTTTGGGGGATGTGTTGAGTTTGAGTTAAATTCATTGTAATGCAGAACATCTGTATGTTGTAAACATAGCTACATAAGTCTATGCGAATTGCTCTTTTTAGAATTAAAGGTTGCAACGCTGGAGAGTTTTTCTCTTTTTTTGAAGCGCTTGTGCTTTCGGGCAAGACTACTGCACAGAAGTGGTCAAATAAATAGATAAATAAATTAGATCGATATTTCCATGATTTTTCCAGTTTTTTTGTTTGTTTTTTTCCAGAGAACAGTCTGTTGTCGTTTGTCCCTGTCCTTATGTGCACACTGAAATACATCTAGTCAGAAAATTTGCCTCCCCAAGAAATTCCCTTCGTTAAGTTTGTCGTTAGATTCACAAAGGGATACATTTTTTAAGCATTTATTTTTAATGACGACAAGAAGTAAAGGAAAGATTTTTCTAGCTTAATTTTAGTTGCATTTACCACAGTTGAACTACAGGTGTCAGAAAAACACTATTCTAAATGTAGCTGGATTGTTTAGTTTTCTGCTGAGTACACAATTTGAATTTATACTTGTCAATATTAATACATATGAATCTTTATAAATTCTAACAAGAAACGTATACATCTCTGTGTCTACGTCTATGAAATCTATGTGAGCATCGTATGAATTCATTTATGTGTGGGAGTTAAACTATCCTGGTTTAGTTTCCGGTGGGAACTTTAGACATAAAAGTGGAAAACATCATTTTAAAAGTGGGGCTGTAAATCTTTATTTAACCAATCCAGCCAACGTTAGGTCATGGCAACCTATTTTTACACGAAGCAGCAGGACAAAATTAAACTGTTGTCTGATATAAATGTTTATGGGGGGGGGTTGTGAATGTTTGTTTTGAATTTGTTGGCAGAATTGTATTTATAACAACTTATTTGGTTGTACTCCTTGCTCAAGCACACAATGACAGAAAATAGGTAGGCTACGTTCAGATAGATTCCTTTGACACTGTCCTACTTTAAGCTCCTAATTCCCCTGACCATTAGGAGGTTTTTATTGCCCTCTAGAGGCCATAGAGTCTAAGTGCAACCAATGTGATGAATGTCGTTTAAAACTAAAATCCAACACTTTCTTAAGGTTGTTGTTTACAAGGTTGTTGTTGTTTTTGTAGGAAGGTTATCTAAAATATGTATTGTGTCTGTAAATGTGTTATTTTACATGTTCGCATCTTATATTGATCTGCAAATTGTTAGCTAGTAAAAAAAAGAAAACAGCTAACAAAAACACACACAAAAAAGTCCAGTCTAAATATGGGGATTTTGAATTCCTTTCTTTAATCAACAAAAAATGTTAAGACATGGGATTGTGTGGAGAATTTCAGATGTGTAGAGATTGGATTACTATTGTTATCTTTTAATAACGTACATTTCAGACTTGACTTTGAAAGGAAAACGGAGTGTTATGAAAAATGTTGTCTTTAATTGTGTGTGGAAATTCTGGACAACCAGAGCGTTTTATATTTAATGAGGTAGAAATAATTAGTTTTCAACCCTATGCATACAATATGTGTTTGGTAGACAGATGAGCTGTTCATCCCTGACTGATTGAGAGATAAAGCTATAAATTTAACAGGGAGAAAGGGGGTTTGCTTAACTTAAAAGAAAAATAAGCACACGAAGAGTTCTTAAACAAAAACATTGTGCCTTCCAAAATAGTTTACTTGTAGTCACCCTGCCCCTTTAATTAAATGTCTTTACGGCATTCGTCGCGACACTTAACAGCGGTTTTGCGACTGTTTTGGAGGCTTTTTCAAAATGGAGTAGTGCTACTAGCTGTAATTTTTAAAAAACATTACTTCTGATTTTTCCCGTTCCTTAAGTTAAACGGGGTCTTTCTAGAATCAGAACTCGCAATTCTTACAAAATGACTGAGGAAAAGAAATTGGGCTCTTTGGGTTTCTTTACAAGTTATGACGATTTGAGCGACAGTAGCAGCGACTCGGACGAAGAGGGAGGCGGTAGAAAGAGGAAAGCGGAGTCAGAGGCGCAAGGAAGCGGATCACAGTCATCCCAGCAGACGGCCAAGCAAACGGCCGGTGGAGGAGCTCCTTTACCCAGACCTGACGAGGTGTTCAACTCCGTGTCCAAGCCAACTTTTCTCTACAACCCACTGAACAAGCAGATAGACTGGGACAGTCTGGCGGTCAAAGCCCCGGAAGAGGTACGAGAAGAGAGTAAACATCTACATAAAAGACATCTACGACGTTACTGGGGCTCGACCAAATATGTACTTTAGGCAAATTTAGCAAGGAGCCACCAGATTTAGTGCTGTTAATCTTCCTCATACATTACAGCTATTAGCAATTTATTAGCAACACCTGAGAAATCTCGTGCTGGAATAATTGGTGTTTATAATCACTCACAGCTGGTCTATGGAAACGATGATATTTGATAGGAATCTGTAAAAACAAAAAAGCACAGTACTTTAGCTCAAAAACACAATATATCTTACAAAAGTGTTGTAACGTGAACATAGCCAAAAACATGTTGATTTAGGTTTGAATTGTCTTGTACACAAAATATGCTATACAAATAAATGTCCCTTGCCCTGCCTTGTGACAGCAATTTGGATCAAACCAGCACTCATCTGGCTGATGATGCTGACAACTCTTCTAGCTGGGCATCAGACATGAAATTAGGAATAATTTCTGCTTGTTTGCTACTCCGTTTGAGGTCTCATTGAACATGTAAAATGTCTTATTGAAGATTTTCCGCCTTGTATATTTCACGTTTATTAACCCCACTGCCATCCCTCCCCATGTCTTGAAGCCTGTCCGAGAATTTAAACCATGGAAGACCAACGCTGTGCCACCCCCTGAGAGTTACACTGCAGAGCCGGAGAAGAAGAAGGGGCCACCTCCAGGAATGGACATGGCAATAAAGTGGTCCAATGTGTACGAGGACAACGGCGCAGATGCTCCACAGGCGTACACTGGCAAAGCCCGCTTCCTGCCCGCAGAGGAACAGCTCTCTGACTCAGGTAAGTCCTTCAGGGTAACAGCTTTACAACTCAAACTGGTGTTTTAAGGACATATATGTATGCATAAAAAGTCTTCCAGCGTAAGTAACAAAGGGTTAGCTAAGCAGAACAGTTTATCTTGAATCTCTGTTTTAAATCCAGTGGTAGTTTTCAACCGGTAGATGTACCTGTTGTCTCATTTGAACATATCTTCAACAAATCAGATCTATGAAAGACACTGCCATTCTGAGCAGTGTGACTGGCTACACAAAGGTTTGTGAATTATGTTTGAATGTAAGGAGGACCAGACGCCTTTCACAAGGGTTTTTCAATAAAGATAGCTTTATATAACTTTATCCAGTAGTCTTTTCATGCAGTAGTCTTTTCATGCTGAATAACTCTTTTGGAAGTCATTGTATTGTAGAAGAAGCACAAGCTAAAACAAGAGCTTTCTAGTGGATCTTTATTTCTTATAGTTCAGCTGTTTCATAATGAGAATTTAAAAGCCATTATTTTCCACTCTCCCTGCATTCCTCCTCTAAACCCCCGAAACAACCAACTAACATCTTCTCCGAATTTCAGATGAGGAGTCACAAAAATCTGGTGTATCATCCAAGAAACGCAGAGTGGAGACATTCCAGCAGAAGGAGAAGAGGAAGAGGGACTTGGGACAAGCCACCTCTGACAAGAACTTTGTGGAGGAGGAGAAAAGGATCCTCAGGCAAAATATTGAGTGAACCACACTTAGTTTGTGGTTTTGGGGTTTTACATCAACATAAATGTGGCATGCCACAAACATACATGCTCATTTTACCCACATGTTGACATATGATTTGTGGAGACGATTCTTTTCAAATGTTGTTTGAAAAACTTTTGGAATATAAAAGATTCAGGCTGGAAACTGCAACAATTTTGGGCACAAAATTAACCAAGTTCGCTAATGAATTTAAACACCTGCCCTCTTCCAAAACCATGTGGATCAAAATCCCTGAACACTGCTGTATTCGATGCAGAAAAAAACAGAGCAACACCAAACAGCGAGTTGCTGCATGTGTGAGATCTTTGCTTTAATTTGCTTGGATTTCTCAGATGTTGGTAACATAAATAGGAATGAAAGCCAAAACTACAGAAGTATTTGGGTCTGAATGTGGGTTCAGCCTGATGTGACAGGCTGAACAGAAAGCTTGCTTAGTTGGCTTAATGGTATGGAATCACTGTGATGTTTGGCTGTTGTAACTTATCTGTGGTTTGTTGTTATATTGTAATAAATCTCCTGCATGTATGAGTGTGTTGATCCCAGGACACTCTTTTAAACAAAAGCCTAAAATAACTGTAAATCTGTTGAAATGAGAAAAACACTCGTCCTTCCTTCTGATGGGCACCAGGTGTCCCACTTTAGTTGCTCTAGAGGTCCCCCAGTATTTGTTGTGAAGTTGGGAGTCTATATCTTTATTTGTGTGTTTAGTGTCTCTGTGAAATAGGACACTGATTTTAAGTCTGGAAGTTTCTCGTCATATCTTAGACAAATGTTTCATGAATACTGTTTTTTGGGGGGGGTATTTTGCTATTCTCAGCACTGTGCTGAAATAAACAAAATAAACACCCTTTGGACATTCTGTTTCTTCTAGCAGGTCTCTTTATTCTTCAGTAAAATATTAAGACGAAGTACTGCAGTAACAGTTATGAAGGAGAAGGATGTTTTGTCATTTAAGTCCTAGTATTTGTTTTGAAGTCCCAAAAAGATAAATCTCATGAAAAAAGAACACGTTAAGAAATGCTTAAGTCATTACTGTCCTGATACTGCATGTATATACCTGCATTCTTTACATTTTTGTGGCTGCTGGAGTAAATATAATGGTTTTCTGAGCACTGAAAAAGTTTCTACTTTGAAACAGTTTAGTGATCAGAGGAATTCCTGCCCTATCTGTCATCGTTGGTTGACATGAAGTGGTGGTAAATATGCTTCTGATAAAATTCCAGCCCCCAGGTATGTGCCTGGCCTTGTCTGAAATGTGTACCTGGTAATGTGCGACGGCAGCAGTGGACTGATTTTTATCAGCCATATTTACGAACAAATAAGTCTTCTCACCAGATCGACTGTGTGAGCAATGACCAGTAAGGTCACTGTGAGAATTAATCATCTCCCTGTCAGTCTCGTAGCTGGAAAATTCCCAGATGGATGGTTTGCAGTGGCTTGTCCTTAGAGCTATGTGTTTGTGGTGTTGAATAGTTATTTTCTTTGATATGGTATCTGTTGCATTCTTTGACTGTAGCCTCTTTGTGTAACGGAGATCCTGTTACCAGACGAAAGCATTTTTCTACCCCACTAGATGTTACACATGGCTGACCTTATCTTCTTGAATAATTTTATTCTTCTCTTACACTCAAAACAAGCAGTTAGTGGTGATATAACAGAGAAAGCTGACAATCTGAAAACAAATTTTCAGGATCAAATTACATCCATAAAATTGTGGTCACTTATCCAAATGAGAAACTTCTGCGACTTATTAGCTAAATTACAAGGCATCGATTTAACCAATGGCTCGTTCCTGCTCCTCTTAGGGCGATGAAAAATGTCAGTCACAGTTATCTTTTATGACATTGACACATTTACTGAAAGGTCAAGACCTCATGATAGCCACTGAGTGTTCAGGGACTTTTACTCAGCTGCCTGCCAACAGCTGCTGCTGTTTGACAAAGGACATTGTTACACAGTCAGCACAATGTTACAGCCTGTAGGCAAATGTAGTTATGGCTGCAGTCTTTGGCAATGGGGCACCTCGAGACAACGGAACAGACACTTTTTTCCTCCATCTTTGATGAAAAAATAAAAACGATCAGCAATAACAAATGACTGTTGACAGTAACACTTACAAGCGTGAACATTTTTAATATTAAACAACTGTATGACAAGACTGTAAGCAAAAGTAGCTTTGCTGCTTCAAAAAAGAACAAACAGAATCCATATTTTGACTTTTATTGGAATTTTGCTCCATAACATGTCAGGGGATCATAAAAATCAGTACAAAAATAAACAAAGTGTCTGTAGCTAAATTTATTATCTATCAGTCCTGAAACTGTCAAATAAAGTATTGTATATTTATTCATCTTAGCTGGGACCAAAGTGGTGTCCAGACAGATGTTTCCATACACTGAGCCAAACTCCAGTTTATGTGAATTTCTTTACACCCTCTTCTTCACTGCTGGAGGTGGAGGATGCTGGTTCCATGTCAACAGCTTCTCTCATTCTTGGCTGGTGTGTGCAGGCACACAGTGGTTCTTCCACATCAGCAGTCTGACTGATCATGTGAAACAGATGTTCAGCAGGAACAATTCTCTGGAGCAGAAAGCAAACATATTCATCTCACCTAACATTTCTGCTTTTCTCCCAGCTCAGAAATGTAGCGTACTCGTATAATATCTTCGATTGGTGTTATTCCGCTGGAATCGTGCATTCGTGCCCGGAGCGGGCCTGGTTCCTCTCACTTTTGGCCTCAGGGTGAGTGAGGGGTGGAAGTTTCCGTACGATAGTCTGAGAGAAACTCAATATTTGAAATTGCTGTAAGGTTGTGGTCCCAGCCACTGATTGCATCTGAATATTTCCAAGCATTCCTGTTTCTTTGAAGACCTCAAGAGTTCCATCATTTACCATCCAAGAACATTTGTGACGTACATTCGGCTTTACGTTCAGACAAAGCAATGATTATACGGTAGCTGCATACAGTGATTAAGAACAAATTACCCAAGGCTCTGTCCCATGTGGACCAAACAAGTATTAAGGGTTTATTTTGCACCTTTCTACTATACAAACTCGTCAAATTTCATCTGAATGCAACTGCTGGCTGCAGCATCAAAAGTGGAAACATCAAAGTAGAACCACGTACAGTTGCTGACAATATGGCCGTGATAACAGAGACGCCGTGCTCCCAGAGAGGATCATAACCTCCTTGTTGACAGAGACCGGCGGTGCACGGCGAGAAGCCTGACCTTCTGTCACAATAAACATGCCGGAGGTTGTCTCTTGATAACGATATGAAGCGCTGTCTCAGTCAGCCGGCGGAGCTCAGTGGGTCCGGAATGGAGGACACACAATCTGCGGGAATCTTGTTGTCTTGACCCTTGTCCTGTCATTTACCAAGACAAAGAGTGATGCAGCATTGAAAACTGACAAAAGAAATTGTAGCTAGGGCTTTGATGTCCAGTTGAGGTGTGTGTGTGTCCAAAAAAACAGTCGTTCAATTAGCCTGAGCCTGTTCATATCCATTAATGTGGCGATGACTGAGTGGCTGGTTTGTGTGCTTGTCTGTTTAAAGCCCCTTAAAATCGATCTAGCACCCCAGAAAAAAATATGTATTTAAAAATCCTGTGACCAAAGGAGTTTCAATTATTGTTAGTTTTATTTATCTGTTTTTATGCAACACTAGTTGTTTCACCAACACACAAACCAAACACAACATTTCAAATGTATCCAAAGAGAATACTTAGGTGAATGTCCCAGCTGTACGGTTCATTTTATGTAGTGAATCAGAATCAGAATTACTTTATTTATCCCCGGCGGGAAAATTGAGATAGGAGCTTAACGAGGTTCTGAATTAGAGGATATTAAAAGACAATAAAGAACGGTGTTTGCTAATCATTTCACTGACAAAGGCCGTTTTTATTGCAGCTTGATTATTATGTGGAGGTTATTTAGTTTACGATGTTTGTCTTCGGTCTGATTACACAGATACAATATAATGTCTTATTCAGGTTGATTTAATGTTTCTCACATGTTACCCTTGGTGTCTTCCTAATGCCCTCATACCTTTGTTTAAACTGTATGTCCCTCACAGACCAACTTCTGAACATTAAGCTGTCTGTAATTAACCCAAAAACTGAAAGGAAGTCAAACACATAGATGTGTTGTCTGCAAAATAAAAAAAAAGAACACGAGCAGGACTCTGGAGTGGATATGAGGCAAATGCTGTACAGAAGAAGTTAGATGTACTTCCAGTTGTAAAATGCAAGTGAATGATAAGAATGTCACGGTATGGATATTACAGCTGCAGGCTGTGGGCAAAGCCACTCTGTCAAGGATCCTCCAACCTAATTTATATCCTAAGAAAGGCTTGTGTCCGCGGGCATAAATTTAGCTGCGGTGTGCTTTGAGGGGGAAAAAAAAGAAAAAAACCCATAAACAAGCCGGGACAGAGAGAGGGAGAGGGAACAATGGACAGCCATCGGGAGGAGAGCCCCAACAGCTGCAAAACCCACAATCCCAACGCACACTCGAACGCGCGTACAACCGCGCATGCACACACACTCACACACGCCGATTCCTTTTATTTTCCTCTTTCGGCCTCTCTCTTTCTCACACAGGCACACACTTGGCTTTCTTGCCTGTACACTCTCTGACCAAGCCATCTGAAAGGAGGCCAGCCAAGCAGATGTTCTGCTCCTGCCTTCACAAAGAGCACAAATGACTGATGGATGGGGGGAGGAAAAGAAAAAAGAGACAAGCTGAGCCATTTTCTGCTGCGCTGTCCATTCTTCAACTCACAAGAATGGGTTGGAAGTCTTCATGGATGAGGATTGTATATTTCTCTGACTGTTTATCAAGTCCTCGGACTGATTAAATAGATTGTTTAAAGGACACTTACCACAAATGCCCCCCGCTGTAGTAGCATGGCTCAATGGCGAGTTCTAAACAATTTGTAGAAAACAGCTGAACTTTATAGCACGGTATCAGTTGGCTCTTGGTTGTGATCCAAGAAGGAAATAGTTTGTTGAGTTATTAGATGTTGAAACTGGACCACTGATGAATAGGTTCAGCTACCTAGAAGGTTTTTCTACTTTTTAAATTACCAATCCGGGGGACAAAAAGTATCTTCAGTTTCAAAATCGCCTCTCCTTGCTCCATCTGTCCTCTCAATCCTAGTTCCTTCTTGTCTCCTGCTTTCCCTTTTCTTTTTTCTTTTCTTTCACACACAAACGCACACACTATGCAGCCTGCAGGTTTTGACCTGTGAATAACTGCCCAGACAGGGTCTAGTCAGTCAGTCGGGGAAGCAGGACAAGGCGTCAGACTCTACACGGCTCCTGCAGGGCAATAACAGATGCTTATCATGTTTTACTGAGGGTGGTGGTGGTGGTGGTGGTGGTGATGGGGGCGATTGCAAGGGGCCCTGCAGGATGAATGGCCCAGTGATAAACCAAGTTCCCTCAATCACGGGTAGATGTTGTACTCTCAGAAAAAGAAAGGCCAGGTTGTGAGGGCAGGCTGGTAGCGGATAAAGATTCAGCGAGTGTTCAGCATGCTGGAGCACACGTGGGCCCTTACTGGGAGAGGTTTAGTGTGCGCATGTGCACTCAGACACCCACCGCAGCTTTTCAGCAGCTCATCCTTTTTCACATTCCAAGTAGAGGCTAGAGCAAACAAACAGCTTAAGGTTCAAGCGAAGCATGTTTCATTTCTTTTTCCCTGCCGGAGCTGTGCTGCGGGCGGGGACAGGGGTTAGAGGCGAGGTCAGAAAAGAGAGGATTACTCCAGATACACTCCAGAGAAAGTGTCACTCCGGTAATTGGCAGTGATCCATCACCGGGCAGGCCGCGCTCGGAGCTCGGCGCTGTCATCAA